CCATAAATATTATCCAGAATCAATCATTGTGTGGTTAAAATTCATCTAAGCCATGAACCCCACAATACAATAAATCAATCTCTGCCATGCACTAGTGCTCCGAACAGTTTTCATGGCAACTTTTTTTGGGTCCATGGCTTTAGTGTTTCGTTAGCATTGCCTTTCAAAACAAAAGCAGATGGCTCAAGATTAGAACAATTACTTTTCCAACATGGATTCAGTTTGGTGCTGTTAAAAAGCCATATGTATTCTGTACTACTAGATAAGATGGAGCATAACTATAAACCTTACATTTTTTGGTGCATATGTTGGTTACCAGAACACACTGAAGCTACCCAGTTCATCTTTCCAAAATCATGATATGCTGCTTCTCTTTGCCCCAAGTAGATCATCACTTTTCACTTTTTACGATACACTGAAAGGATAATGAACAGATCCTATTTATGCTACCAAATTCTTCATCTTAGTTTCAGAAATTATGCCCTCATCAAGATGGCAATAGCCTTCCTCTCTAAACTACATATCACATCCTGTTATGGCAACAATTGAAATCATCAGTCATTCTTAGCAATTCCACAGATATATGACATAGCAAAGTAATTTATCCCCAAGATCAAAATGTCGTACGTCTCTGAGATAAACTGAGTATAGGAGGAAGAGAGAAGAAAAAACACATCACCGAGGGGTTCTGTCAGTCAATGTCAAAGCTGTTGATAGCACATGGTTCAGCCAAGAGTTCAATGGGTTCCTCACCTGTGCAAAGGAACAGTGTGCAACAAATCAACCACCAAATAAGAGAGGTTACAGATTGTCTGAAACAGGTATTCCTTTTGTAAAGGAGGCAAAAGGTTTGGATAGGTCAAAACGAATAATGCATTTAAAAAACCTGACCATGTAATAAACGGGTTTAAGTGATTTGGGTTGAATTTGGTACACAGGTATGGAAAATTAATCTGATCAACGAATTAACCCGACAAACTAACCAGATCAACCCAACAGGTATACAACTCATTTATAACCTATTTATTTATATATTTTGACGAGAGTTTAAATGGGTGAAATTATATGGATTTAAGGTTTCCGGTTAAGTGTGCCAGCTCTATCTTTTTGCCACAGAAAACAAGAAATATGAATTCAGCCACTTAGCAAATAAGATGACCTTAAGCCTTTCCACTAGCGCACTCAAATGGAAAAAGCCAGATATGGAAACAAACTTCATACCTTGTTCAACAACAGCAAGGATTCCATCTTCTGAGCAGATCATAACAGGTAACACCCGTGATGTTGACATGTTACCAATGTTTGAAGAATAGCTGTCATACTGGACCTCCCAAATTTCACTCTCAGATAATGAGTGGGACTGAAACTCACCTGCTGCAACCCCAGAAAGAACTATTGGCTGCTGTTGCCACCGAAGATCCCATGCAAATACAGTACCAGAAGAGCCTCCTGCCTTCATGTAAACCAGCATAATAAATAAACAATCTCGAAATTTTTCTCAAGTCAGAACACAAAAAGACAACTTATTCGGTTTCCAAATAACCATGTAATCCAATAATTAAACGTGGAAGTGTTTCAATGTGATCACAAAATCCTTTGAATCATCACCCAGCATGAAATTTAACCATGTCAACCAATATATTATCATGATCAGTCAAAATATTCAGCTTGCATAAAATTCATGTAGAATGATTTTGTTCAGATGCTTACAAAAATAACCATCTTAAATGAATGTGTTTTTTTTTTTTTTTTTTTTTTGAACAGTAAAATAGGGGTTCTCGAATGTTCATAAGCATAATTCCTGTCTAGTCTATTTAATATTAAAAGGAAAAAAAAAAAAGAAGCAAATGTTGAGAAAATCAAGAAAAATGACTTTATGGAATAAGACTATACATACATGGGACTAAATGTGTTAAAAAATTCTTTCATGGACTTCTTGGGTTAAAACACTTCTAAATGGGATTTATCAATAATTCACCCAATAAATAAATAAACCTTACTAATGTAGTTAAAAGCAATTAACTTGGGCCAAGCCATAGTTAGCTGCAACTGCAGCTTGCATTTCGTTCGCAACAATGCTACAAACCCATAAATATTATCCAGAATCAATCATTGTGTGTTTAAAATTCATCTAAGCCATGAACCCCACAATACAATAAATCACTCTCTGCCATGCACTAGTGCTCCGAACAGTTTTCATGGCAACTTTTTTTGGGTTCATGGCTTTAGTGTTTCGTTAGCATTGCCTTTCAAAACAAAAGCAGATGGCCCAAGATTAGAACAATTACTTTTCCAACATGGATTCAGTTTGGTGCTGTTAAAAAGCCATTTGTATTCTGTACTACTAGATAAGATGAAGCATAACTATAAACCTTACATTTTTTGGTGCATATGCTGGTTACTAGAACACACTGAAGCTACCCAGTTCATCTTTCCAAAATCATGATATGCTGCTTCTCTTTGCCCCAAGTAGATCATCACTTTTCACTTTTTACGATACACTGAAAGGATAATGAACAGATCCTATTTATGCTACCAAATTCTTCATCTTAGTTTCAGAAATTATGCCCTCATCAAGATGGCAATAGCCTCCCTCTCTAAACTACATATCACATCCTGTTATGGCAACAATTGAAATCATCAGTCATTCTTAGCAATTCCACAGATATATGACATAGCAAAGTAATTTATCCCCAAGATCAAAATGTCGTACGTCTCTGAGATAAACTGAGTATAGGAGGAAGAGAGAAGAAAAAACACATCACCGAGGGGTTCTATCGGTCAATGTCAAAGCTGTTGATAGCACATGGTTCAGCCAAGAGTTCAATGGGTTCCTCACCTGTGCAAAGGAACAGTGTGCAACAAATCAACCACCAGATAAGAGAGGTTACAGATTGTCTGAAGCAGGTATTCCTTTTTGTAAAGGAGGCAAAAGGTTTGGATGGGTGAAAACGAATAATGCATTTAAAAAACCTGACCATGTAATAAACGGGTTTAAGTGATTTGGGTTGAATTTGGTACACAGGTATGGAAAATTAATCTGATCAACGAATTAACCCGACAAACTAACCAGATCAACCCAACAGGTATACAACTCATTTATAACCTATTTATTTATATATTTTGACGAGAGTTTAAATGGGTGAAATTATATGGATTTAAGGTTTCCGGTTAAGTGTGCCAGCTCTATCTTTTTGCCACAGAAAACAAGAAATATGAATTCAGCCACTTAGCAAATAAGATGACCTTAAGCCTTTCCACTAGCGCACTCAAATGGAAAAAGCCAGATATGGAAACAAACTTCATACCTTGTTCAACAACAGCAAGGATTCCATCTTCTGAGCAGATCATAACGGGTAACACCCGTGATGTTGACATGTTACCAATGTTTGAAGAATAGCTATCATACTGGACCTCCCAAATTTCACTCTCAGATAATGAGTGGGACTGAAACTCACCTGCTGCAACCCCAGAAAGAACTATTGGCTGCTGTTGCCACCGAAGATCCCATGCAAATACAGTACCAGAAGAGCCTCCTGCCTTCATGTAAACCAGCATAATAAATAAACAATCTCGAAATTTTTCTCAAGTCAGAACACAAAAAGACAACTTATTCGGTTTCCAAATAACCATGTAATCCAATAATTAAACGTGGAAGTGTTTCAATGTGATCACAAAATCCTTTGAATCATCACCCAACATGAAATTTAACCATGTCAACCAATATATTATCATGATCAGTCAAAATATTCAGCTTGCATAAAATTCATGTAGAATGATTTTGTTCAGATGCTTACAAAAATAGCCATCTTAAATGATTTTTTTTTTTTTTGAACAGTAAAAAATTTTTTTTGAACAGTAAAGTAGGGGTTCTCGAATGTTCATAAGCATAATTCTTGTCTAGTCTATTTAATATTAAAAGGAAAAAAAAAAGAAGAAGCAAATGTTGAGAAATCAAAATTCATAGACTTTGACAAGCTAAGTTTAAGAAAGTGAATCATTCTAAACCCTTGGACACAGAAATATATGCCATAGAAACAATTTTAGTCAGAGTTGGTAGCATTTGCGCCAATACATAAATCTCAATGATCATCAAGATGAACATCAATAAGCAACTAAACACAACCAGAGCTATCTCGGCTACTTAATCAGCAGACAATTAGAGATCCTATTTATCTCAAAAAAACCTAATCAGTTGACTCAAGGACAGAATATCAACATGCATCTGCAACAGCAGTACAATAACAAACTTCGTTACAGTGTGCCAATCAAATGAACCATATAATTATATAGCTGCCCAAACCCCTTATAATACCACAATGTGATACATTTTGATAAGATCTGTTTCTAACACAAATAACAATAGGCTTTAGTTTATATTCCAAATCATCATCTTTATTATCTTTATCAAGTCATTACTGAACCTTTTAGCAACTAAGAAAACTATAGACGAAGCATAAATATTATCAGCCACTGGATATTCCAAATATACTGTAATTTTGCTCCCCCAAAAAAATATTAAGTGAAGGGAGAGAGAGAGAGAGAGAACAATGGGGACAGCTAAAACAAAATCCAATAGTACACCCCTGTCCTAATGCCTTAGCATTTACATTCTGATGTTTTTAATTCTTACTTGATGTACACTACATTATGCCCATGAGTTAAGCTTAGTGCATTAAATCTACATATTTTTATGAGAGGAATGAAGAATGAGAAAGCAGCATCTTACAATACAAGTGTGTTTTCTTGATGGATGAATATCAATGGAGTGTACAATCCCAGAAGTAGTTCCATGAGCCCTGCAACATTATTAATATGAAGAATCACATCTCATCACAACAAAAACAAACCATGAAACAAAAAAACTGCTTCTACTCAGATGGACAGAGTTGAATCCAACTGTCAAAATATGCCGTTAAGATAGTGCAAACAGAACAAAAATAAACACTGGATTTAGAAGCATAATAAAAACTCATCTAAGAAAATGACTAATACCACTTAAGAACATATTAAGCTTCAAGAAATTCCTACATTGGCATGTTCAAATTATCAACAAATTATGAACTCCTCATGATCCTTGCATGTGAAGCGTATCACCATCCATCTTTTCTCTTTTGTTTATTTTCCCAAAATCATAACTTTATTTGACAAGAAGCAAATTTTATCAGAACATATAGAAAATAGGTCCCCTTAACACATTAGAGCACAAAAAAACAA